ATACACATCAACAAATAAGCGCAGTAAGATAATGTCATTGACAGCGATCATTCTTTTGGAGCTTCTTATCAGCTCAGCACTTAACGCTCAGGTGTCCTGCCTTCATCACCCCAGTATCTAGTCGAGGAAGTTGGGCCTCAAGTAATTTAAGGACGAGCTCAAGATCACATCGCTGCTAGTAGAACCAGACTCGAATCCAGGTCTATTTTATTGAAATTTTTCCTTTTACTCTATTTCATTCCCACATGTTTTGTAGAATAGGGAGACACAAAGTTCAACCCTCCTGGCTTACGGGGATAGTTGAACGTTGCTGTGATAGTTGTGTATGGATGGACAAGTCCAAGTTCAACAGTTGATGACACACAGTAAGGCTATGTTAGGTGGGTGAATAGCGTGCATAAAACATGAGGGAATTTCAATGTATATGATATTTTCCAAATTAATAAAAAGTTCACATTGACAGGAAAATCCAATTCGTTTTTCCATTCATTCCACTGATAATTGTTGAATGCCTGTTGCCTGCCAGGGAATGTTCTAAGTACTAGAAAAAAAAAAGTGGAATGAGTAAATAAAGATGAGGGTCCTCCTTTGTCCTCAAAGAGAGTGGAATTTTGTGACTCACTAAAGATCCAAACTGCCTGTGGTGGACTTTTTTTTTTTCCTTTTTAATTATACAAGTAACTGTGTTAATCTAGCTGAAATATTTTAAAAGCAAACTCCAGATAACGTCATTCTACAAGAGTACACTGGAGAGAGAGAGAGAGAGAGTGAAAGAGAGAGGTATTTCTGCTCATTTTATAGTTGAGAATTATAATAATTAGAGCAGCTCAGTAAGGAAAAAGCTGCCTGGCAGAGATGTGAATGGGTTTCACTAGAAACAATGAGACATGTGACAAGCACCTTGTGTGGCCTTCTGGAAGAAGGATGGAATAAGATATGGTTGCCAGTAAATGACCTGAGAGTTTTTATCGATCTAAAATTCTATTTGGTTCACCCCCTACCCTGTGTACACAACAATCTATAAGTAAAAGAGAACAGATGGAAGAAATAGAAAAAATAGTTTTTGCTTGCATTTATATTAAGAATGCAGTTTATATGAATGGGTCAAGGACATGTATAAAATTAAGTGAAATTTAATTTAAAATATAATTTTTCCTCAATAAAAATATTTGAGTATACTTTTTTTTTAATCTGCTGTATATTTTTTGTTTAAAAGTTACTGAGCAAAAATGAAGACCTAGGGAAATTTTGGCACATTTGAGAAGACTTTGTCACGGTTAGTCTGCGATCCAACTCTGCTTTCTTAGCCAGCGAAGCCGTCCTTTGAGGCGCCAGATCCATTAGATAAACTTCTGCGCGTGGCTGGTGTCAGGGTGTTCTTATAGCTTCATAGACCTCCAGGCACAGCGTAGCATCATGAAGAAAAAGACAGTTATTACTTCCATTTTCTAACAAAAAGTGGCAAGTTAAACAATTGTCACTAATGGTCACAATAGTCATCTTTCTCATCTCAGGCTTTTAAGGCTTGAAAATCAGACAAGGTTCAAGATTCTTCCCCGTGCCCCATGCTGACCGAAGCTCTTAGACACTGGGCTACTTGTATTTTCCTTTTCTCATTGGGACTAAAAAATAATTAAAAACTATGTGGAACAAGGCAAGCTCTCTGAGGACAGGCATTTTTCACAACACTCTGTTCATAGCGGTAGTCACAGTGTCTAGAACAATGCCTTACATGCAGTAGATAGTATCTATCTCTACAGGAATAGATTGGTTAGCAATGAGAAACTACTCAAAGACTTTTGGGAATATTTCTTCATCTGATTTTGCCAGAAATAACTCACTGAAATGATAGAAGGGCTGATAAATCTGCCCTATCTCCTTTAATGGATGCAACTTGTCCCCTCTTATATACTAATGTGTATACTTTTAGAAAACTCCCCAAATTAAGGTATCATTAGATATAGCTTCATAATACATCTACAGACATCAATAAATGCGGTGTTTCCAACTTCACAAGGCTGTCGTAAGCGATATATGTCAAGGGAAGCTGATTGCTAGTGTCTTCTCATCGGTCCTTCTCTTTACCATGTTTCTGACAAGTAGCCCCCACTTTTCCAAACGGTACTGGTGATGAAGTGCTCACCACCTCACAAGGCTGGTAACTTCGCTGTGGGAATTCCCTAAACATTAGCCATTCCCTGTCCTTAGGATGGAAATCTCTCCGTCTACCTTGTGCTGGTTTAGCTTCCGCCTTCCTTGGAATCAACCTGGAGTGAAGTCCACACTCCCTTGCCAATGGGACCACGGTTCAGCTCTTTGAAAGCAGCCCTATGATTTCATCTTCGTCTTCTCTAAGCTAAACTATACCTGGTTTTATACAAACAATAACAGCAATAGTCTTTTTTTTATGCCTCTACTTATATATCCAAGTTTGGTTTCAAGGGTTTTCCACCTAGTTTAGCTAATAGTCACACTAATGTTAGAGATTTTATTAAACCTGTTAGATGAGAAAACTAAGACCCCAGTAGGTTTGATAGTTAACCCCAAATCATAAGGGTCATTCAGTGGGTGAGCAAATTGGAATTTAAACCGTATCTGTTAGATTCCAAAATCTGGAATGCTATTTCTACTTCAGTAGCTATTTATCCAGCCACTAACCCATCCAACAACACAAATTCAGGCACTAGGAATTCAAATGAGAATTAGACTGCCTCTCTAAGTTGCTCAGTCTCGTGGGACAGAAGACACAATTACAATTGACTTTAAAACAGTGTGGTGGCTGATACTCAGTCCCATCTCCTCAACTTATGTACTTTGTAACTTGGCCGGTCTCTTTGTACTTCGTTTTTCTCTGCTGTAAAGCAAGATCAATGTTACTAATGTACTTCAAAGGGTTTTTTGAGCGTTGGCTGGACGAACGCATGTAAAATATTCATATAGAGTCCTTGGCACATAAAAATCAATAATATATTTAATTCTACATGCACACGATGCTGTGGGATCATGAAGGAGAGACACCCACTCCTTCCTGGAGACAGGTGGCAGGGAAAGAGAAAAAGGGGGGATGCTTTTTAGGGGCAGTTACACCCGAGTCATGACGTACTAGTGGGAGTTGGTGCGTTAAAGGGTGGGGTAAGGAAAGCACTCTAGTAGAGGAGACTCCATGAACAAGGGTATGGAGATGAGATCTTGCACTGAGTCTGCAAAGTGTATCAGGAGTAGGAGTAGGTGATTCGAAAGTTTGCTGAGCTCTAGATTGTGGAAAGTGCTATACTTTGTATAAAGGCTTTGAAATGGTTCCTGTGTTCAGGATGCGGCCGATTGGGTAGAGGTTGTTGAACAGTTTTACATTAAGTGCTCACATCTCTTCGGGATGGCTTTTCAAGCTTTGAGAAGAAGCAGCGATCTGTGGAGAATGGAGATAGGAAGCCCAGTGAAGAGGTTTTAACAGTAGCCCCAGTAAAAACAATGAGGGACCGTGTACCAGAATAGAGCAGGTACGGAGGGGCTAGGCAGACCTAGGACGCAGGTAGGAGGTGATAGCAACAGGAAGTTGGGATAAGGAGAGGGAGTCAAAAATAATGCTCCTGGTTCGGTTTGAGTTATTTAAGTGAGAGGACAGTACCACCAACGAGGGAGAATAGAATCATGGTGGGTAGCAAGTCTAGAGAAGTCTACAATGAGTTCTGGGCTGAAAACACTGAGTGTCGGATACCTGCAGAAGTTTGACATGTGACTCTGAAGCTGTGAAGTACCTGGGCTAGAGATATGGGTTGCACAGTCACGAGCGAGTGAGAAATTGCTCAGAAGCGAGGGAGAGCAGGGAAGACGCGGGGAGAGAACCCTAGGTGTGCGTGACTGGTTTTAAATGTTACGCTACCTACCTGTGTTTTCCATTTGATGGGGAGAATATGAGTTAACAAAATACAACCCTCCTGTATTCGCCTGCTTCGATGCACTAATGATCTGGAGGGGAAAGCAAAGGGAAATGTGTATTTATAAGATAAAGAACATTTTAAAGAGTGCAGTGACAAAAGTTCTTTGAGGAATTGGCAGGCTTACCTTAAGAACTGCAGGGAGAGTGTTTACCTGGGTCAGACATGTATGCATCTGTCCTAAGTTGTGTCGTTCAAATATATGCGTTTCAATTTTGAATTATTTTTTTTTTCAGGCTGAGGTTGCTTGCTTAGCCTGACAAAAATTTTCAGAAATTTTCTTAGTCATGCTTCTTAATTAACCCCAGTGAGATCTGTAGGCTACCAAGGCATTTACGATGGCGCAGGTCTGGGAAGAGTATAAACTTTGGTGTCAGGTCGGGATTCCACTTTTATATCTGCTACCTAGTGTCTGTGGACCCTTGAGCAAATTGGTGTCCCCTTTGAGACTTCATTTCTTCAGCTGTAATGGGGTCATAATGTCCCCTTCACTGACTTATTCTAAATATTAAGTTAAATACCAGGCGAAAAGTTCTGACTTGGAATGGAGGCTCCGTATTTATCGGTTGCTATCCTAACATTAGCACCATAGTTGTTATTTTTCAGAAATACGGACTTTTCACTGGGGATAAACTTGTATTAGAAGTCAGATGACGATGATAAATAACGACATGCTGCTTTATTGTGTGCCAGGCACTATTTGAACGCTTTCCATCTGTTAACTGGTTTGATCCTCTTAATGACGCTGAGTCAGGTGCCAGGGTCACGCCCACTCTCCAGATGAGACCGAAGCTCAGAGGTTAAGAAACTCACCCAAGTTGACGCGTTTTGGAAATGACCAAGCTGGAGTCACAGATTCTTAAGAATTTTTTTTTTTTACAATCCCCTCAAATGAAGTCTTGATTATAGGCTTCTCATGTCAGTATTTGGAGGTTTCCATTATATATGTAGAACATATGTCAATTATTGTGGTTAACAAGATAATGCTGACGTTAGCGAATGAGGTTTTAAAATTGTTTTAATGCTCCTTCAACGGCGTTCTAAACAACGTCTCTCTGATTTCAGCCTGTGAGGTGGAAGCGGGGAAAGTGTACCAGGTATCCTCAACGGAGCACATCCAGCCCTTCAAAGAAAACATGGAACGATTTATTGTTCAAGGTAAATCCTACAGAGATATTTTGCGTTTCCCTCCCTTTTCAGCAGAGGGGGGAAGGCATTTGTTTTAAAAAGTATACACATTGGGTTAAAAGGGATTGACATCCTAGAAAAACAAGTTATGTTTAGTCATGAGTCATACAGTTATGAGAGACTAGCAATTTGCTAAACATGCTATTTTGTGAATAATACACATGCTATTTTGTGAATAATACTCATTATTACCATTTTTCTTTAATGACAGTAAATATAATAGATACTGGTTAAAATAGCTCATATTTATAAAGACTTTAAAATTGTGATACTTTTTTTGCAATAGAAACTTAAGTATCCTTCTAAGTTTTAACTCTGCTATGAATACAGTTCAACCTGGTGTTTATTTGGTTTGTCAAAATATGGCATCCAAAAACAAAATATATTGATGTTTTTCAGATCTTCAAAAGATTATATGCTGTGTTTTATAAGATGTATAAATTCCTCTGGATACTTAACATCATTTTTTTCCAAGGAGCCTAGAAGGGATAAATGGTGATGGAAAAAAATTAAATTAAAAAAAAAACACTTTACGAATATTATCTCATTGCCTTTTCCTATATTCCTTTGAGTTAAGCAGGGATGAAAAATTTCAGGAGATATTAAAGAAACAATTTGTATAAAGAGAAGAAATCTATTAAAAGTCTGACTATTTGAAATCTTTGAAACTTACAATTATTTCCATGCATTCACTGCTCAGAACATTTTATTGTTGAGTGTTCCATCTCGTCCGTAGGTCAGGTTTGTGTCAGGCAGTGCTTTGGGACAATTCTTGCTCTTCAGGAATTCCTGTAGAGCCTGACGTGGCATGAGACGGAGGCCAAGTGCCACTTTGTCCTCTGTTAGGCTACGGCTTTTATAGGTTGGTCAAGTGTCATTAATGATATTTTAAATGAATGAGACATGCTGGAATATAATTAAACGTTAAGTACAGCTCTTTTTTTTAGATGGGACAACACTATTTAATCATTGAATATAATGAAGATTGAAACAGAACCTGAAACATAATATGAAATAGATTCATAAATCAAAGCGGTTGTCATTTCCAAATTTTCAGGTCCTCATGACTTCGAGTGGAAAATCTACTCACTGATTCCTAAACAGTCCTTTGACTGAACTCACATTCCTGTAGTAACATATCAGAGGACCCGTAAGCTCACCCCACTCTTAACGGTGAATAAAAATGAGTCTTGCTTTTTCCATTCAGTGTGGTTTTAGGATCAAAAACATGTAATTTTAGAAAACTATGTAGGTGAAAAAACTGAATTTTTTTTGTTTGTGGGAAGAAAGGAGCCCTTATTTCTATGACTCATTAAAAGAGAAGTCAAACAATTTGCTGAATTTCATATCTGAAATGTTGATGAGTGAAACCCTTACAGTTCACATTATATCTGGTTCATTATATAATATTAAATCTGGTTTATATCATATCTGGCTTATTACATAATGTTCTGCATCTGTAATTTGGAGATCAGGCATTGAAATTTCCTTTCTACCTTAGTCATTCTTTGAATGAATAGCAAAGTTATATTTTGAAACCCAGATGGAATTTCTAGATGGAGGATTGGACATCGTATAAGAAACATGATTATCGAGTAGATGTGGTGACCTAGGAAGATAAGAAAAATAGACCCAGGGGCGGAATTCCAGAGCAGGGGAGCAGTTACAGGGTGGACGGAGACGTCCCTACAGGGGCTGATATTTAAATTAGTCAGAGGGAAACCAAGGGAGGCTGTTGCAATGGCAGCCAGAGTCAGGAAGAGTTTCGGAAATGAGGGAATCATCATAGTGGTACCGTTTATGGATGGAACATTTCTGGGGGGCTGGCAAGAGCAAAAGTCAATTTTGTGAGTTTTTAACATTTAAGAACAGTGAGGAAGTGGAAGGGCACAAGCCTGCCACAATTTTAGAAGTTATTGTGGGACAACTGTAACTGATGCGCAAGTGTTTAACTGTGTAATTGATGTCACTGAAGTATAGCTCTAAGTTATGCCAACATAGGTGATGATTTTACTTTTGTGCATGTGTTGTGAAGAAAATGAATAGGTTACCTCTAGATGGTGGTTGAGCATTTATTTGTAGTTTGTGTTCAATTTTCTTTTGTGCTTTTTTTTTAAAGTTGTTGAATATAGGAGGTGAGAAAGATGAGATAAACAAGGCCACAAGGGAACATAGGCTTTGTTCATGCATCTCTCAAAACTTGGCACGCTCCTTACTTTGCCTCTTTCTCTTTGAATCCAAGTTGCACTTTGGGCAAAGTGTGCATGTGAAATCACATGGCTGTGCTATCAAGGACGTTAGATGTAGCAGACCGCCTCTGTGCATGCGCCTGTGTACGTTGAGGTTGCAAGGAAAGAAGTAGGACCTCTCTTTCTCTATTGTTAGCTTTCACAGGCTTTTTACTCATTTGACATATTTCAATAAGTGTACTTTTTAAAACTACAGCTTAAGCTTTTTTTTTTTTTTTTTTGGCTTGAATGGCAAATTTTGAAGAAAGATCAAGGTAGTTTCTTCACTCCATGCTATTAAATGAAGTCAAGTCCCTATTGTGATTTCATAAATCGGAAATGGCTAATAAGACTTTCATTAGCCTCACTCCCCATACCTTTACCGCCATTTTTTGTAAAGATTTCTTCCTTAAATGAAGTTTAGTCAATTATAGTTGAACTAGAGGAATAGAACCAAGAAGAAATGCAGAAATATGCAATCACATGCATATAATTAAAAGGGTGTGGAAACCTCAGCTCTTAAATATTCAGCCTTTAGTATCAGAACTTCTGGGCTTGAGAATGAAGAGATGCTGAAAGCAGGGGTATCAACTGTACCAGAGATGAGGAGTCTGCTCAGACCTCCTCTACCAGACACGGTACCTGAGGAGCCCTGTGAGCTTCGGACCAGATTCGGAGGGAGCATGTTTGGTGCTTTACTTTTTCCTTTCTGAAAATATCATGACAAGTTCTTTTAGTGGTGATGAAAAATAAGGTAAATTTGATTTTTCAAAGTAATCTTTCATTGACCATTTAAAATTGAAAAAAAAAAACCCATAGTTGTCTGTTAAGCAAATAATGGTTTACTTGTTATCAGCATGATAGCAATAATGACCATATTAAGCGGTAATAAAGAGTTAGCCAAAGCTCTTTTATACTCTGCATGATTTTAGTTTCACGAATCTTTAGGACAATCTGAGCAGCCACTGTTGTCCTATTTTACAATAAGGAAACAGAGGCTCAGAGTGTTCAGTATTTGACTACAATTACATGGTAGATGGCAAAATCATGTTGGAACTGAGACTTTCCATAAGAGGTTGGAGCTATATTTTATTTTAATTTAAAAATTATTCAAATATAGTTAGGGACGCCAAGAGGTGGTGAATAAGGCAATGTGTAATGTCAGGTGGTCAAAGCCATAATGCAGATGTGAAACCCATGTAGATATTCAATTAAACTCAAGTCACCGATAACAGAACAGTAAAATGGGAATACTTTTGTATTCTTGCAATACACCTGCTGCCAGACAGACATACTGATACATGATGATTCCACTTTGGATTCCTGTCACTCGTAACATTCCAGAAGTGTGTATTTGAAGCGATTCTTTTGTATCACCACTTCTATAGCACCGATTCTGTTGGAGAGTTACGTTTCCAACAGCTGCAGCCATTCATTCTGTAAGGGCTGATGAGAAATGATCTCAGACCTCTGAGGAGTGACCGGGATGGATTACCCATGAGCATCGCCAACCTCCTGCATATTTCTACTTGGATGTCCCCACTGACACCTCCTCCTGTACATTCTGTGTGTGCTCCATGCTGGATCATAGGTGCATGAATGGGTGTTCACACACATGGCTGCCTAAGAAAGAGACTTTGGCCTCTTTGTTTATTTTTTAATGAATGAGTGAAAAAATAATATTTAAATAATACATCTGTTGTAAAATTCAGGTATATAATGGGATGGAAGTCTGCCTAGTATTATTTTTCTCTATTTTAACTCCATTTATATTTCATTTCTATCCTTCCAGAGATAATTTGTGCATATGAGCATATTAATATGCATATATAAATTTGTATTTTTATATATATATTGCTAGAGAATAGAGCCTCTAAGTGTTGCCTTTGCTCATTTTGTTTCTATTATGAAATATTTTACATTTATGTATTTTATATATAACATACCAAATATTTGATAAAATGTAAAATAATATATAAAATTATTTTTATGTGTGTAACATAAATTTATATGTACACAACATATAAGTTTGTACGTTTTATAATCATTTTATGTATAACACAAAAATAAATATATTTTATTATCCTTGATATTCTCCTTGTTCGCTGTAACTGTGTTCTGCAAGGTGCCGCAAACATTGAGTTAGTGAATATTGAAGCATTGCCCCTCGGAGCGAATACAGGGTCAGGTTTCTTCAGATCTCTGGTCAGGTTTTGGTTTCATCCTTTGGTCAATATGCTACCTTGTTTTATGCGTGTTCATGTTTGAAGATGCCTCACTTGGTCTCTATTGTTGACTCGTTCCGCGTAACGGGCTGTAACACAGCCGGCAGCCCTGTAACTCGCGCGTGCACGGAGGTCCCCCCGCGCGCATCTTCCCCGTGAAGCGCTCACACTCTTGTTCTTCCGGACGCTGGACAGTGCTGCGTCCAGCCATTTTGGAAATGGAAATTACCCAAAACAGCCCAAAGATGGTAAAGAGTGGGTCACAATAGGCTGTGAAAGGGACGCTTAGTTACGCTATGGAGCTGCAGTAAGACGTAGAGCCGAGCCTCGCTGGCTCCCGCTGGCAGAGCGTTTGTCAGGCGACTGGGGTTCTCCCCTGGCCGCACGTGTGCGTGACAACGGCAAAAGCACTGTTAAGTACTGATTTTGGAGTTAAAGTAAATTCTCGTAAGTGGGCAAATTCAGAAGTGCAGAACTCATGAATAATGAGGATCAAATGTGTACTTGAAAGACATAT